ACTATATTTATACAACTTACATTTAATCAAAGCAGCCTCGCTTACTTAAAAAAATTTTGATTCGGATCTATTTCAATGATTCTATTTTAGACAAAATAACGAAATGTCATCTTTTTGAATTTTATTTCCCTAAAATTAAACTTTTGTCAATATTTTTAAAGCCACTTGCAGCCAAATGATTTTTGCAAATTTAGATTTTTTTGGATCGTTCCATGTAAGAACATTCTGAATCAAATAAACGTTTTCACTAAAAAAATCTTTTGAGTTTCATTCATATGAAAGCTTATGATAATTTTGAAATTCTTGACTACATTTTCAAAGTAATTGAAGAAAAACAAAAATTAGATTTAACTGCTCGTATTTTTGCATTTTTCACAAAGCCGAGCAAAACAATTTCGTTTGTTTCCCGGCTAAAACAAAATAATTTCAAGCTCAACTTTTTGGAAAAATGAAACGAGTTTACACTTGGCGCTTTAACACGTGACAATTCCAATAAAAGCAAGTGTATTTTCTTGTTTATTCGTCCCGATATTTCCCCAAGCAAACACACGGCTGTTCCATTTTATTTACTTTCGGTTACACAACAATAATCGAACTCGGGTTACCTGAAAAAATGTCTCGATGGTCGAGAAATGACAAAGATCCAAGCTCCGGATTTCGTCTAAAGCTCTCGACGAGCATCGAATAATTGATTTATGTGTGTTCAGATGGGAGTAAGAACGGAAACGGAAAATGCGATTAATATAAACCTCTCATGCGACATTGTGATTTGAGATAAGGAACACTCGAAGAGCTGCAGGATTTCAGCTGAAAACCTGGATAAATATTTAGTGGTTAAATATTTTCATCAAGTAGTGATAAAGCTCGGAGTAGGAAGCTGCAAATGACTATTTTATGAAAATATGCTAGCCCTAGCTTAACACTGGGTAATTTTCCGGTTTCACATTGCCATAAACTGTAAATTCTCTCCTCGATTTCCTTTTAGTGTTTTCCGGAAATTGATACAAATGGTCGATTAAAAATCTTAATTCTCACTTTCATTTAACGACTCTCGTTGTTTTATTAACTCGTAAAATAAACCAAATCACAGTCATCAAAAAAAAATATAAAAAGGGAATCGATACCAACACTCGAGCAACAAGTTCATGCGATTTGCTGCTGGTGCAGACTTGAGGGAAATTACATAACCGAAATTATTCATGGGCGTACGTCAGCGGGGGCCGCGATCGATAAAATACACCAGATCCTAATGTCTAAACCCCAAAAGAATTTAATTGAGAGAATTTCACCGATTTGCCTCTCTCTAATCAAATTACCAGAGACGCGGATCAAAGAAGTGCCATCGAAAACCCAATTAAAGGAATCTAGCAGGTATTGGATTATTTTATACCATGGTAACGACACGACACAAACCATGGCAAGGGGGGTTTAAAACAAAATCAGGCAAAATTGTTTTGTCGTGGTAATAAAACTAAAATTATATTTTAGAAACAACCAAACATTTTATTTTCGATGTTGTCATAAAAGATTCACAAATTTTTACTTTTTTATTTTGTAAATTGCGGCAAAACAGTACCTTAATGCATTTATTTATGTATACATAGGTAAGGTGTTCCGAGAAATTAATTGGCGTCAAAAAAAGTGCAAAATTCTTGGTCGTCTAGAAGTTATAGTTGAATTAATATTTTGGATAATTTTGAATTTATCAGCAATTTTCTCGATTACTATTTATTATAGAACACTGATCTTTTTTGTATATGATAGAAAATTAAATTTTCTTTCCAACGGTACCAAACATAAGAGATTATCACTAACAAATGCGGAGTTATTGGCAATAGATCGCTCCGGGTGCAAAAAATTGAACAAAATCTGGACAAAAATCAAAAAAAAATTTAGCTTTAAAATTGCTCCATATAACGTTTTTTTACCTTTATAGAGGTCTTAAAAACTCAAAAAAGTGTATAACATGTTATTAGGTCAAATTTAAAAAATTACGAATTTTTTGAAATTTTCAAAGAGAACGGTAGTAAAATCGTAAAAATAGTTCAATTTACTTTAAGTCGTAAAAACGCTTGAAGTATGATTTTTTGGACGTAAAATTACGCGCTGAACACGATGCAACAAGTTAAAATACTCTACGATGCATAGTTTTTGAGATATTGAGTAATAGTTAAGGATAAGGCTAAAAGTATAAGAACTATATCCGATTTTGACCAAAAAATCAACATTTTTTGATTTTTATGAAAAACTAGTACTATGTGTATGTATGTAAAATTAACCATAGAACACGCCTGTAGAAACCATTTTGACCTAGGACTCATAGTTTTTGAGATATTAATTTTTTATGAGAAAAACTAAAATTGGCTCTGTACCCGGAACCATAACCCGGAGCGACTTCCGGTTTGCGCCATTAGATGGCCAAACTATTTGACCTAGAGCAAAAAGCCAAAACAATATCTTGCAAAAAAAAAAGAATTTTTAAACGCCGATTATGGCGGAACTACACCTTTTTTAAGTGTAATTCAGAAAACGTAAGACATATTTCAGAAAACATTAATTGTAATTCAGATTAGTCAATTGTATTTCAGAAAGTGTTAATTGTAATTGAAAACAGTAAAATGAATTTCAGAAACTATCAGATATAATTCAGATTAGTTAATTTAATTTCAGAAAGCGTAAATTGGAATTCAGATTAGTAAATTGTATTTCAGAAAGTGGTAATTGTAATTCAGAATTCGCTATTTTCATTTAAAAATTACATTATCAAAATCTTTTTGAAAATAAAATATCTTATTTATTTTGTAAAATACTAAGTTTATGTAACTCTGTAGTTTTGAAAATAAAATAATTCGAGTTTATGTGTAAACTTTATTTTGAAATAACAGTAAGTTACTGATTTGAATTACAATTGATATTTTCTGGATTATACAGGGTGCCCCAGAACTAGCGCCCCAGAGAAAATGTGCAAGTAACGTAAGATACCAGGAACATGAAAAAAATGTTTAAAAAATTCTATCTATCAAAAAATTTTGACATTTATTTTTTGACATTTGACATTTTTTATATCTATTTAATGATACTGATGATCTTGTATATGTTTGTTTACAATTATTTAGTAAAGGGACAAAAATTTTGACATTAAAAGCCACAAATAACATTAAACAGAGTTACAATTTAGGGTACAGCTTCCTTGTTTCCTCTTTTAATAGCAAAAAAACTTGGAAAATTATTTTTCCAACAGAAATAAATAGAGTTAAAGTGCAAATTTTAAACCCTCATAACTTCGAAATTTTTATAGATAAAATTTTTTAAACATTTTTTCCAAGTTCCTGGTATCTTACCTTATATGGCATTTTTCTCTGGGGCGCGAGTTCTGGCGCATCCCTGTATGGTAACATGAAATTTAATTTACTGTTCTGAATTACATGGAATGAATCTGAATTCCAATTTATGCTTTCTGAAATTAAATTAACTAATCTGAATTACATCTCATGGTTTCTGAAACTCATTTTACTCTTCTGAATTACAATTAACACTTTCTGAAAGACAATTGACTAATCTAAATTACAATTTACGCTTTCTGAAACGAAATTGGCTAATCTGAATTACATGTGATGATTTCTGAATTACACTTGAAAAAGGTGTAGAGGAGATAACGCGAAATGCTTGGCAAATTCGTCAAAATCTATCGGATATGTTTCAATTAAATCTGAGACAAGTTCAAAAACACTAGTTTTTAAGGGAGGTGTTAACAAGTTTTTACTTTTTTTTATTTTCTAAATTAGCAAAACTGTACGTCAATGATACTTGATATAATGCTTTGACAAAGACATATGTAAAATGTTTCGAGAAATCGATTGGTGTCAAAAAAACTGCAAAATTCGTAATAGTTTTGTAGTTATAGTCATATTTATATTTTTGATATTTTTGATATTTTTGATTTTTTTTTTCGATAACTATTGTAGAGCACTGATCTTTTTTTTATGTGATAGAAAATTAAATTTTCTTTCCAACGGTACCAAACATAAGAAGTTATCACCAATAAATCCGCTCCGGGTGCCAAAAATTGACAAAAATCTCGACAAAAATCAAAAAAATTTCCAACTTTAAAATTCTTCCATATAACGTTTTTTACATTTCTATAGGTCTTAAAAACTCAAAAAAGTGCATAAAACGTTATTGGGTCAAGTTTAAAAAATTACGTTTTTTTTGAGTTTTTGTAGTAAAATAGTCAATTTATCTTCAAAACCCCTGAAATATAGTTTTTCAGACGTAAAATTAAGCGCTGAACACGATGCAATAGGTTAAAATACTCTACAATGCGCAGTTTTTGAGATATTGAGTAATAAAGTTGCTATGAAAACCAGTGTTGTCAACTTAACTTTAATTAATGAATTAATTAGTAAACAGCAATTGTTAGTAAGTTTTCTCAGAGGCGTCTATCGATTGCGTTTCGAGGATTTGTCGATGGGAGGCCGTCATAAACATCCTTTCGATGTCTCTCGTCTCCCTGTATCTCTTTTTGGCATCAGCTTGTAGTTTTTTGAAGAGGGGTAGATTATTCTCCATGGATTTTTTGAACGATTTCCGGTCTAATTTGTAAACTTCGCTGATTTCAAGTGCGATAACGGTGGCCGTTCTCTTCAAATTGGAGTAAAGTAGGCAAATTTCCCCGAAATAGTCGCCGTCTTCGAGGTGACAAATCTGGAGAAAATTTTAATTTTCGAATTTTTCAAGTGTGATTTTTACTTCTTTGCCTGAGGGTGAGACCACTGAAACCGTGCCGGAAGCCAGGAAGTACATGCAGTCGCCCTCAGAGCCAGCTTTGACGATTATATCGTTGGGTAAATAAATCTCGGGTTTGAGGTGGTGGAGGATTTCCTCGACGAGTTCACGCGTGAGCGACTGGAAGATTTGGACGTTGTTGACCAAGCGGCGACACGTGTGATAATTGATCTCTTTTTTCAATTTTTCTAAAATTTGGATAATAGTTAAGGTTTGAGAGAGTGCCAAAATACCGGAAATAAAATTCTTCACTCCGTGTTCTTTAAAATACTTCTCGCGGTATTTGTAGAGATAGCATTCACGAAGGCGTTTCTGAACCACGATTGGAAAATTTTTCGCTTTCATGTAATCATCCACTTGGCTCATCATCGCGAAATATTTGATTTCTAAATTGTTACGGCTTTTCAACATGTTGATAATCACCACTGAAAAATGACAAAAATTGGGCTTGGACCACAAGTTTTCACAAAATTTTGAAAAAATTTGGCTTGATTTCTACTAATTTTTGGTATACAGGGTGCTTACTAAAAGTTCTAACGCAATTTCGAAAATTGAAATTTCCTAATGTTTGCTAAACTATCACCCACAGCTTCTTCTTACAGCACTGGATACCTTTTATTGTCGAAAAAAATACAGATTTGGATGTCAGTGATTTTATATTTGAGAAAAAAAAAAGGTTTTGATAATAATTTAAAATTTATTTATATTTATATTTATTTTGTACCCAATGTTAAAGAGTGATTTTATCAACAAATTTTATTAGATAAAGTAGTCTTTTATCGTCTAGTGAAATAAAGTAATTTTTATCTACTGTTTATATTCAAGAAATTCTAGTAGGTGAGTATAAAATAAAACGAAATATTATACACTTGTTTATCGTCTTGTATAATAAATAACTATTATTGTAGCAAATTAATTCTTGCAATTTAGAATCGATTCAAATTCAGGTTCAGGTTCCCTAAACATTTGAAAAAATCGTCCACTTTCAAAGTTTGTTACGCAAAAACCAAATTTCATGTATCTTTGAAACCAACATTTACAGCAATTTTTTTACAATTTCTGATTTTTTGACTCATTTAACATAAAAAAATGCAAATTTTGAATCATTACTAAAGTCACTACGTTAGATTGATTCAGATTCATCTCGGTGATTCTGTTTTTGACAAAATTACAAAACTCGATTTTTTCAATTTTATTTCTTTCTGTAAAAGCAAAATTTTGGACATATTTTTCAGTGTACTTGTCATAGCCAAATAATTCTTGCAATTATTTTTTTATTCTACTTAAGAATAAATTCTGATTCAAATAATCGTTTTCAAGATTTTTTCCGCAAATGTCAGAAAAATGACTAAATAACACAAATAAAAGTTTTACATTTTAGTAATGAAGTAAAAACTCTGTTTTTTGTGCCCAGACGTTTTTACTTTTACTATGACATTTACCAATGTTGCCTCTTTCGCTGCTTCAGATTATGCTGAAAAGGTACATTGTCGATTATTAGCATTCGACATTTTACACTACTAACTGCACTAGCCATGTAGTTAAGAAACTTTCGAAAATCTCAACACAAATTTCGATACTGACGTTTGTTTGTTTGTTATGATTTCATTGCAAAGCGTCATGATTATTTTGTTCATTTACTTTTCAATTCTTTGCCTCGATCTGAATACGTTTGCGAATAAAATAGTATATGTTATTCGAAGTAAAAATGTGTTTATGTGAATTTTTTCGCAAAATAATATTTTGTAAAATAAACATATCACTTTTAATTCTAAGTAATAAAGTAATATACTATTTTTTGAGTTTCATTAATTTGCAAACAAATTTTTGATAAATTTTAAAAACTTATAATAGCTAAATAATTTTTGCAGATTTCCATTTCCTAAGTTATTTTACATAAAAAAAATCAAAAACTTAATCCAATAATTTGGTATTTGGAGTTTAAAAAAATGTTTTTTCAATTTTCCTCTTTAAAAAGCGAATTTTAATCTATATTTTAAAAATCGCAACTCTATAATTTTTGATAATAAGTATTTTGAAATATGTGACATTTAAATAAAATACTCCGTTTTTATTTGTTTTCCATTTGTGAACAAAATGTGTCTAAATTATTAAACTATTAATTTTTTGAAAAAAGTTATTAATGACTGATAAAGTACTACAAAAATGTAACGTTTTATCAAAAATATTTTTTGTTGTTTTGGAGTTCTGAAAATTTTTAATTTTTTTAAATGCCAACCTAATATAAAATGTTTTGTACAAAAGCTGTGATCTAAGAATTACAACTATCAACATTTTATTCAATTTTTAGCAAAAATAATTGATATAAGTTGAAAAAAACTCAAAAACAACACTCACATTTTTAATAGCACTTTTATTTTTATTAGTTATTATTTTTTGAAAGTAAATGATTTAAAAAAAGCGCTTGGTTTCATACTTTTTGTTCATTTCGTATAGGTCATTCAGTTTTTACCGAAAAGATGAATGGCGACAAAAATTTTCACCCGATCTACCGATTGCACCGAAATCGGTACAAAATAAGTCATCACTCATCTCAAAAATTAGCAAATAGGCTTAAAATCTTTATCACATAATATAGTAAAATTTACTTGATAATATTTAAAAATTCTCAATTTGATCACTCTTTGGAAGAATTTGAGCCAACATGCATTTGAAATATGTTTTTTTAAGCAAAAAAGGATTTCTTTAGCATTCAATGTGGCATAAACTTATACCTGTGGCAAAAAGGAGGAGAAATTTCCCGATGAAATATCCAAGAATGGCCGTAATATAAAACGACCAAGGATAATGATATTTGAATCGAATATCAACCCCTAGAATATACGAACAGGCCGTGTAGAGGTTTCTTATATACAAAGAAAAGAAATCCATTGAGAGATTTTCACTCCTTATATGCAGATTAAGACTCATGTGGTTAGTTTCTTGGTGTCGTTCTTCGTCTTCAGTGAACGATTCAAAAATTTCACTTGCTGTTGCCATCATTGGAAAAATACACGCAAGATCATGAATGAGAAGAAACGCCAAAGTGGCCATTTTTATGACAGTTTGCGCACCGGTTTTGATTCTGAAATACTGGAAAACAATGATTTGGACAAAATTTGAGTCGATTTTACACTAAAAACTGTCTCCAAATAGTCCAAGTAAGTTAAAATGCGCACAGTTTTCGCCAGTGACAACATATCGAGTAAATTGTCGGTGTGGTGGTTAATTAAATCCTTCGGTAATTCAGGCGTGAGGGCTAATACGTCCCCCACGAAAAAAAAACTAAATATGTAATTACTGAAAATGGAAAATTACTGAAAAATTCCTGAAAATCCCAAATTACCCAGCGATTGACGAACACTTCATCACAATCGTTTCCTTTTTCTTACTCTTGTAACCCGTGGTGAAATTCACAAAAATATCAATAACTCCCAACGTGTTAAAAAACCAATTAAAAACCAAAACTTCCAATGCGAGGTAATCCCCATATGCAGCATCCAGGGGCAAATAAATCAACCAGAAGAACAACAAAATCGCCATATAAATCTCGTAATACAGTCTAGAAACCTGCGATAATTTCAGTGGCTGAAAACAGCTCCGTTACCTGAAAATACTGAACGGGTGGATGACCCACGACCCCGACTTGACCTGCTGTCTCCTTTCGTCGAGGATTTCAGCCGTGCTCCTGAAAAAGTTCATACTGTTGGGGTTGATTTCAGTGATGAGAATTATCTTTTTCAGGACACGCTTGAAACGGGCGAAGCAGGACGCTTTGGGGGGTAAAGGGGGTAAAAAGCTGCGAGACGCCACATGTTCGATGGTGCAAACATGGGACAGTTTCACTTGAAACATTGTGTTTTGACACTGAAAACTGACTACTTGATCAAACAATTTTTTTGAAAGCGGCCAAAATGGGCAAGGCAGGTAGTTTTCTTCTATCACAAGTTTTGAAACACCCATATTTTCAGAAATTTTGTCTAAAATCTCCTTTCAAAAAATTGCAGATTTGGCATTTTTTGAACAATTAAATTGAAAAAAAAAAAACAAATTAAACTACGAATCTTTTAACAATACTGAGTGATTTATGATTAAAATTTATTTTCTGAAAGACGATCTAAGATAAAAAAGACGCCCCAAGTCATAATTTCGTTACTTTTAAAGTTGAACAGTTTTTTTGTTATTAGTCGTTTGCTTATCTTAGAAAAAATGAATAAAAATGTTCTATTTTTCCACAGCCTAATTTTTAAATTGCCAAAAAGCAAAACTTAGTGATAAATAATAGTTGGTAAGCTTGTTCAAAGGCAATTTAATGAGGAATCCAAAAATAACAAAATATATAGAGTGTTCCATTTAAAAAACTGAAACTGATGTCAGTTCCGGTAAAACAGGAAATAACATTGATTAAGCGTCAATCCCAAATAATAGATGATAATAAACTGTACAACTTTGTTCTAGAAAGTATTGTCATATCTTTAAAAATAATGGAGTTATGACTTGGAGTGTTTTTTATAATCCACCTGTATATGAATGAAAATGCCATATTTCGGAGTTTTTTTGAACTAACTATTTAGTAAAATTAAAATTTTAATTTCTTACGTAAAACTACATAGAGAATTTAAATACTTTTTTGACATTTTTTGTCACTTTGTCAAAATAGTGTAACTGTGAAATAGTTCAAAACACGTACCAGGTGAATAAAAAATATGGAACTAAACGTTTTTTGCTTAAACTATTTATTTTTTGAAAAAACTAATTGATGAGTAATAAAATACTATAAAAATGTGAGGTTTTTCCAAGAATAAAAATTTTCGAAATTTTGTTTTGTTTTTGAGTACCTACTGCAAAAAAAATATTTTTTTAAAGGATAACCTACTTTAAAACCATTTTTCTCATGAAGGTTATGATTTAAAAATTACAACTATCATCTAAGTACTTAATATTTAATATTTAAAAAAAAAAATGTTTACATTATTATGACAAAACAAAATCGCATAAAAAAACGCTTCATTCCATACTTTTTATTCACCCTGTATGTAGAATGGGTCAAAAAATGAAATTCTAAAAATTTGTTGTTAAGGCGATTAATAATTTCAAAGATGTAGAGTTTTCCAGAGACGGATAAAACGATTAATTATTATCAAAACATACATATGTTTTATTTTAGAATTAGAATTATTTTGAGATTTCTAATATGAAGTTGGAAATAATAAAATAATAAACGATTTACATAAAATAACTTTTTTAGAAACAGAACTTATGATCATTGCGAATAAAAAAATAAGCAAAAATTTGCTTTAAAATCTCTCTACAAAAAGAAAATTATTATTTTTATCATGTTCATAGCAAGTAGATAGTAACGAGAATATCATTTACTTTTCTTTCTTCTTTTTTTAATAAGAAATTGTTTTTATACGTATTACTTTTTAAAATGTTTAAAAATCAAATAAAAGTAAATTAAACATTGTTGCGAGTATTCTCGCCTTCAAACTTCACACATTCCTAGCGAAAATTGCTTTCACACATCCTGAAGCTTTCAGCCAAATTAAAAAATTTCAGGAATAATTTGAAAACGAGCCAATCAAACAAGCGCAATCAAATCAGTGAGGGCGTGTCTCGCCTCACGTGACAATCAAAACCAATTAAAAGTGAGTCAATTGAGTCGGGCGTCATCACCCCTCCCCTGATCAACAAGTGACGCACTTTTTCTTCAAAACAAACATAAAAAATCGCTGATGAAGTAATATTTCGTTAAATATGTAAATAATTTATGACAGACCGAAAATAGCTAGCGTAAAAATAAAACATGACGGGGTTGGGAACAAGGCTTACCGTAAAGCTTGCCGAAACTAAAACCGAAAAGCACTGAAAACTGAAATCCGCGAACGAAACGGCCGTTTCAGGAGCGTCGCGACGCCCTCCTCTCGCGCCTCGCAAACGACGACTGATTCAACGCCTACCGGGATGCTGGGATGCTGCAGACTTAGCGCATATTTCAGGCTTTTTCAACGGGGGCAAAAACACCCACTTTCTCCCCCAAATTTTGCATCCACAAGTACTGTTTAATTAATTGTCCAAATAATTTCAAGCAAATGTAATTAATGTTATTTGATAAAGCAATTTGCAAAGGGCAAATGACAAACACGTAGTATTCTCTCGCTGTTTGTACTGTTATTAAGATAATTTGAAAACACGATGTTTATTTATACGTTCGATTCCGTTCTTGTCGGAAAATCAATGGTTTCGGGGCAACGAGCACGCATGGAGATTTTGCAAAAACAAAACTATTAAATTGACACAAGTTGTTGCAATTAGGGGCGTGTCTTAACAATCACATGACTATGTGACTCAATTACGCGGGCTGTGATTGGAGCACACGTCACGTGACAATTAACACGCCCTAAAAATTTGAGTTCTTTAAATAACTAAACCACAGACTTATTTCCTCCCACGCACTGTATGAAACAATACAATGAGACTTCTTAAAACTCGGATTCAACAAATTGTAACACATCATCGGTTTATTTTTAAACGTCGGTTTATACAAACCAAGTGACTGTTCGAAACGGATAAATCAGCGCGGACATATAAATATTTGCTTGTTACAAGTTCGACTTTTTCTCTATGGCTGGAAATAAGTAATCAAGGTCGGGAGTTAAAATTAATCTGCGATTTACACCGAGTTTTAGGGCTTAACGGCCGACAAAAGCGGAAAAGGATTCGCACATAAGCCGATTTAATTATTCACTTTGTAAATATTTGATTCAATTTTTGTAGTGAAAGGTTGACCTGTATTTTTGTTCCGGTCAAGCTGGAACGAATAGTTTGTTCACCTCGTTTGTCTGGGGAATTAAAACTTCAATTTCGTAAATATTAAAAGTATATTTATTAAAAACTAGTCAACAAACGTACAAAAAACTATAAAAAGATTCTCTTAATATTCAACAACCGGCTTCAACTCGTACGCAATCCCAGTTTTCTGGTCAACAATCAACCCCATCTTTTGGTCGTAGACCAAATCCCGCCCGTCTAATTTCTTCCCTTCCCTTTTGCCCCTCTCGTAATCCCTCTCCCTCTTGTAATTCCCCCCGTGTTTCCCTGTTACTCCACTCAAGACCAAAGCCCTAGCATTTTCGTTTATAAACTCGACGTCTCCGTCACCATTCGGCTGTCTTTTTCCCCTCCCACCAGCAACATAGGTCGGACTTTGTTGACTCTCATCATAGGCAACATATTCTTCCTTCTGTTGACTTTCTTCACCTCCACCGTCATGATGACCGGCATGGTTGTAATCCCAGTAGTGTTCCCCATACCCTCCATGCTTATCGCCCCATCTCACCTAAAAAACACCGGTTAAAAACCCAAAAAACGAAGAAATTAAGAAGAAAGAGACTTTAGTTTTGAACTCCCCGGCATGCGGATGGGCTTTCTCATGACGTTCGATAAAGTGGTGTTCGTTGCCTCGTTTGTGGCCGTGCTCGTAATGGTCTTTAGCGGGCACATGGGCGTATCTGTTAGTGAGAAGAAAGAAGAAAGTTAGTAAGAGAAGAAAAGAAGAAAAGACTAAATTAACAAAATCCCCAAAAACCTTTCCTTGATGACTCAAATCCTCAAAATTGATCTTTTCAAAACGCTGCTCCCACTCTTGAGGCGATTCGCACACGTGCCCAAACTCAATCTCGTGAGGAGAGTGCTGGGCCGTGTACATATCCCTACACACAAAAAATCAAGCAAGCGCTGAATCACTGTCACTGTTGCTAAGTAACTGTGGAGGACTAGTGATACTTAACAACAGTTGCTAGGTAACCGTTGTCACTGTTACTAGATTTAAGAGTAACTTAACAACCGTTGCTAGGTAACCGTTATTTGGAAATGGCCAACTTACTGGAAGTATTTGCTGCCCGCGTGCACGGCCGCCGGGGCGCCGAAGCCATGCGTCTCGGCCACTTGATGGTCGTCCTTTTGCAAAGTGACGCTTCCAACCTGTCTTTTGTCCTTCACTTCCGCCCCCAGGACGCAGGAGGCGGCGCAGAGCAAAGCCAACGCTGAAAACTATGAGAATTGTTGTGGTTGGGGTTGAATTGGTGGTGTTTTTGTGGTACCTTTGAGCACATTTTGCAAGACTCGATGCTAGTGTGAGACTGTCTCCGATGAAAGAGTGTAACCTTTTTATAGTTGAATGATCCGCGACGGAATTGTTTATTTTCGATATAGTTCCAGCGAGTTCTCTGGCACCGAGATCGCGGTTCTTGTCTGGGGCAAAAAAGGCCAACGGTCCGTTAGTTTTACAAATCAATTTCTTAACAATAGACGTATTCGAGAAGTTGTGATTGCAAAAGATGACCCAAGTCGGATTCTATGTCGAGTGGAACAAAACATGAATTATTGCAATTTTTGTTTGGTAATTATGGAAAGTCGGCATCGAACTTTCTAGATTTGTGGCTAACCGGATGTTGGGTCATTTTTTTGCTTTCCGATTTTTGTAATTAAGCAAAATAAACGAAATTCTAAATTTTGGTTGTTTTTCTCCGTGTTGACATTTTTCTGCTTGGGCGATAAAAAATCATAATTCCTGTGTAGAAATGCATGAAATTTAAATTTGACCAAAGACAAAAAATTATTGTTAATCAATGGGACATGAAGAATTGGTTATTTCCGTGAAATTGGATTTGGAAAAAGGCGCATTTCCGGCTGGCGTAAAAATTCAAAGAACTATTGCGTTGGTAAACTTAGACATCCTGTATAATATACAGAAGGGACGTTCGCCTTGGGCGACAATTATTCTGCATCTGAGCACTTTCATGTTCCATTTAGATTTTCCTTCCGGAGATGTGCTTTGATGTTTATCTTTACTTTCTGAACTTGAACTCTTCTGCTTCTGAACGCTTTGTAGCCAAATTTAGCTATTTTTATAACAAAAATTTCAGCGAGTTTAACCCTCGATCGATTTTGCTTCCCCCGGACGGACATCTCGCATTTTTCAAAATAAATCTTCTTCTGTCTCAAGTTATCAGTGGCGGCTCGTGCCCAGAATACCTAATCTTATAAATGAACCCAAATTTTTATCAAATAAAACATTATGAATGATTATCAAAAAATCGTAATCAAATCACACTTTTGGTGATAATAAAATGAAACTCCCCCTTTTCACGAACCTCCACTGCGTGAATCACCTAAGATAACAAAAAAACCTCGTCAGCAGGAGATAAAATACAATCCCATGCGGATTTAATTACGACCGGAAATAGATTTGTTTTAACAAGAAAATCGACGAGGATTTATTTCCGGTTTTGGCGTCGGAAGAGAGACGCCGTTGCTATGACGATCGCACCAGGTGAATTCGTTCGACCTCGAGTGATTATTCGACCGAGTTATGGATTGATTAGGCCTTTATGGCCCCTTTGTTGCCTTAATGCAGGATAAAAGGGATGATGAAGAGATCAGCAAAAGTCAAATTTTAAAAATAAACTCTCTAAAAATCAAGATTTTACGTAATTTTCGCCCAAAAATAATCACATTGGCCTTGTGCATTTTACCTCAAAGTACCTAATTTTTCGGTCGGCCATTTTGAAAAACAAAAACAGAAAATTGCATTGTCACAAAGCAATCTCCATAGAGATTATAATTCATTAGAATTAACACAGCCGACTTGATTGGTAGAACATGTGCAGGGCTGTCCAAAGTTCTCGTAAAGTAGGTACCTAATTGGAGCTAATTGCTTAGCTAATTGTTTAACTTTTTCAAAAATTGTTTTTTATTCACTAACCCTATTTTTTTATCTTGTTAAGAATAAAATACAAACAATTAATTCAAAGTTGCATGTGCTTGGTAATTTAATTTTCTGCATATACAGGGCTGTCCAAAATTAAGAATTAACTCAAAAATCGAGTTTGTTTTCAAGTTGTGATTGTTGTAAAGACATATTTGATTTTAGAGATTTAATTAAAAAAATACAAAGGGTAGCTAATTTGGTAAAAAATAAATTTAATTTCAGGGATGTTCAAACTAAAGCTATCTTAAAAATGTTTTAACTTTATGGCCATAGAAAGATGAAAACTTATTTCAGTTTCACACTTTTTGACAAAACTTGACAATATGTCAGTATTTGTTTAATTGTTATTATTATTAAATCATTGCAAATTTTATTTATTGTTTTTTTTCCCGGCACATTTCTGTAAATTCTGATAAAAAAATTACACTTATTCTGAGTACATCATGTCAAATTTTTATCAAAAAAAAGAGACGGAAAAAAAGCAATGTTAAAATTGTAGAGTATGACTAGTTTCTTTTTACTTGCTAGACAACAGTCACAAATAACCCGATTTGCTTTCTGATTTTCTAATTTAAGGTTCTTCTTTTTTATCATTTTGAAAATTAGAATTTTTATCTTATGTCAAAATTATATGCTCTTTCAGTGGCAGGGCTGTCCAAACTAAGGCCTTTTTAATAATATACAGGGTATCTCAAAAGTAAACCACCATACGTCAACTAGTGTAGAATTAAATAGGTTTTTTTTTTCTATCTTAAGTTGTTAAAGATTTACAGCTTACCACAAAAGTCAAATTTTAAAAATAAATTTTCCAAAAATCAAAATTTGACGTAATTTTCGCCAAAAAATAATCACATTGGCCTTGTGCTATTTTACTCAAAGTAATTTTTCGGTCAGCCATTTTGAAAAACAAAAACAAAAAATTGGATATTTAGAAAACAATCTCTATAGAGATTATAATTCATTAGAATTAACACAGTCTACTTGATAAATAGAACATGTGCAGGGCTGTCCAAAGTTCTGTAGAGTACGTAATTGGAGCTAATTGTTTAACTTTTTGAAAAATTTATTTTTGATTAACTACTCCCATTTTTTATCTTGTTGAAAATAAAACACAAACAATAAATTCAAAGTTGCAATGCTTGATTATTTTCTTTTATGTATATACAGGGCTGTCCAAAATTAAGAATTAACTCAGAGTTTGTTTTCAAATTGTGATTGTTTGTTGTGAAGACATACTTGATTCTAATTTTATTTAATTTAAAAAATTAAGGTGTAGCCAATTTGGTAAAAAATAAATTTAGTTTCAGGGATTTTCAAACTAAAACTACCTTAGAAATCTCATTTTATGACCCTTATTTCAGTTTCACACTTTCTGAGAAAACTTGACAATATGTAAGTATTCGTTTAATTGTTATTAAATCATTGCAAACTTTATTTATAGTTTTTTTTTGTTTCCGACAAACAAAATTAACATTTCTGTAAATTCTGATAACCAAAATTGCACTTATTCTGAGTACAAGAATGTCAAATTTTCATAAAAAAAAAACAGAAAAAAAACGGTGTTTCTTAATTTCGATAAACAAAAGCAATGTCACTATAAACATAGTTTACTCGATTTTTTAGTACAGATTTTTCCAAAATTGTCAAAAATTTAAAACCCTAAAGTATGACTAGTTTCTTTTTACTTGGTAGACAACAGTCACAAATAAACCGATTTGCTTTCTGATTTTCTAATTTAGGGTTGCCCAATTCTTTTTTATTATTTTCAAAATCAGAATTCTTATCAAAAAAATTGAAAAAATTATAAGCTTTTTTTAGTAATATACAGGGTGTCTCAAAAGTAAACCGCTATACGTCAACTAGTGATAGAAAATATCATCCTGAAATAAAAAATTAAATAATTTTTTTCTATCTACAGTTGTTAAAGAATTACAGCTTACCACATATAAATTAAAAACGATGACATTTATGAGGCAATAAAGCAATAGTTTCAAGTCTTATTAAACTGAAACAATGGAAAGCAATGTAATTGATTTTTGTAGTTATTGTGTTTTTTGTCACATTGACAATATTAATTAAATAAGACTTGGAACTAAGCAATTGTTTGATAAATGTCATTTAATTCATTGGTAATCTTTGCTGTGACTATTTAACAAATAAAGATATAGAAAAGATTATTTGAACTTTTTTTCTCAGAATGAGGTTTTTTGTCACTGATTGACGTATGGCCGTTTACTTTTGAAACATTTTTGAGAATTTTTTTAGAAAAAAAGCAATTATTGTGCTTTATACAATAGTTTTATGTTTTTAGTGATAAAAAAATCGAAATTTCGGAAAAATAAAATTCGACTCTTTTAAGATTGTTTTATTTCCGTTTTGTTGACAAAAATACAACATATAGTTGTGCAATAATAGCAATAATAGTGCTACTAGCGCCAGATTACAGATCCCTGTAAGTATGGTGTACGCTTAGCGTGAGATGTCCTTCGTGTGGTTCCCACGTGACCAAAATCGCCATTGTTTCGTCCAGATGTCGCTTCGTTCTTTCCGTCATGCATCTGGCAGTCTCACGTGTTTACCAACACCGTGGTCTAATACCGATCGAGCTGTTATGAAATCATCTCGGCGTGTATCTTCGAATCCGTGAGTGTTTCTCGAACCCGGGTGGTGCACACAGAGATCTAGGCCTTCGCCCCTACGATGTCCGCCTTCTCGCAGACGTCCGAGAGCGACGCGTGGACCCTCCTCTCGCTGAAATCGGCCCCCAGCAGCCCCTCCAAGCTCCAGTGGAGTCCCGAGCACAAGGGCGACGCCATCGCGCGCATCGAGGGTCGCGACATCGAGTACCTGGTGCGCCAGAATCGCATCGTCATCGGGAGAAACAGCTCACGTGGCGACGTCGACGTCAACATGGGCCATTCGAGCTTCATCTCGCGCCGGCACCTGGAGGTCTTCTTCGACCACCCTTTCTTCTATCTCTTGTGCAACGGAAAAAACGGAGTCTTCGTCGACGGGGTGTTCCAGCGGAAAGGGGCACCGGCCATACACCTGCCCAAGACGTAAGAATATCGAAAATCGATAATAACCCCAAATAAACACGACATACCAACCATGTGAAGTATTTATCGAACCGGTGACGTCATTAGCGCGACTGTCGCACGCCAAAAACGACCCTACTAACATCACTAATTCGATATGAAATCCCATACCAACGTTGTAAATAGAAAATAAACCAGTATTGATGTGTCGGGAGCAAAACACACAACGTACAACATTCTTTTCCGTGGAGAAAAGCACGTGGTTGGGACTTAATAACAAACGAGAGCTATTTCCGCCGCTCACGGCCGACTTTATTTCCTTTATTTCATTACAAAACTCTTTTACAGTCAATGTGGCAATACTGGACATGTCACATTTAATAACAAATAAATTCTAATTTACGTCTTAATTTATACATCCGATATCTTGTAATGCGTGCATGATGTCACATTTCTGCATCTATTACATTTGACATTTTATTTTATTATACTTGTTTTTAATAATTAAACAAACAAAACCAGTGGCGCACCAGAAAAAAAATGGCATTTCCTACGGCGTTGCCATTTTTCACATTCACAGCGTACTGGATCGGATGACAATTGGAAGAAACTCGTGTAAAGTCTATTTCAGTCTTATAAGATAATGAAAAACTTACCAGAGTCGTGGCAGCCAAGTGTGAAAAAAATCTAAATAAAAAAGAATTAAGTCAGATAAAGATGACTAAAAACTATACTGAAAATATTCAAATTTTGTTGGTCACGTGACACTATCGAAAAAATATAACAAAAAATTTTTGAAACTAATTTCAATTTTTCAAAAATATTCACGGTCATGTGACCTAGCTTTTCCCCTGTTTTGTTGAGTAAACACTGAGTGATGTTTTTTTTTTTTTGAATATAAAGCTCACAACCGGCTTGATTGCCAAACGTAGAATCGTACCAATATTGGCATTTATTTACAATGTTGCCATTTTTCACTAGATATAAACAACAAAATTTTTGTAGTTCAGTTTCAAAATCTTATCAAGAATATGTACCTAAACTGTCGTTTTCGCCATATTTTTAGAAAGAATGGTCAATTTTGCTATTGTTTTTTTCGGTTTTTTTTTGAAATAGCAATTTTAGTACCAGAGTGTAAGTTCTAAGAGATGAATTATGCCAGAGTTAGCACTTAAATTTTCGCATAAGGCTCATTTAGGGGTGAAAAATTTTGCCACCACATGGCCCCACTTAACCTAATTTTAAGCAAAACAAAAGACAATTGACTTGAATCTCGAAAGATTCGATCCAATATGACGCTACGAAAAGTACAATGATTCACTAGTTTCCTATTTTATCAATGACTATGGCTGTTTCATTGTTGACAAAAGAAAACGTTTATTTTATTTTTTTTTTTTTTCAGTTTTGGTTCACGTGACCGTTCATTAACCAATCGTCGTTTTGTTTACATCATTACGTACAAACATGACCTTTATCGTGGCACTCTCCGCGACCTTGGACCTTTGTGCACGCTTCCTTTAAATCGACCGAAAAAACGCGGATCTAGAATGCGGTGATATCGATCCGGCAAACAATCGATAGACGAAAATGTTGTTTTCATTTGTTTGGTATGACAGTTGCCATGGTTGAAATATCTGTCGAAAATTTTGAATGTGTTTGAGGTGGTGGGGAAGGGGAGGTCATGGCACGCTCGATTTCCTCACGTCTGTGTGCATTGCATCATTGTTTTTGACGTACGGATAAACAAGAGTTAAATAAATACACGGACGTTATCTTTTAACATCGTCCCAATTATTATGGACATGGGTTTTGCAATGGGTGTGTGATGTAACAGTCGCAGACCACTAGGTACAAGGAGGGAGGTTTTGATTATTTTCATGGCGAACCACGATTCAGACACGCGAATTGTAAAAATGATTCGAGTTTGTCTGGTTTTTGGAAGGGGTGGTAACCATGAGACAAGATGACTAGATTTTGTTAAAATAAAATATTGAGAGATAAATAATCAAAATGAAGTCTTGAGTTTTACAAAGATGGCCATATTTTGTAACTGTACGATTTAATTTCAAACACTAAATGCAAATGAAAAACAATAAAATACAAATTTTTACTCCAATTCTTGTTTTTCTCCCAATTTACAAAAACAAACTCCACAAAAAACAAACTGTCAAATGTCAAAATGTACATAAAGTCTATTTCGATTTGATAAGAATAAGTGACATTTGACACTTCAGAATTAAAGAAAAGTCACAAAATTCGCAACTGAACGTATACATTTTTGTATGTTGTGATTCTAATAAATACCACTGAAAAATTCTCTATGAATACGTCCACAAATGTCAAAATCGCCATAAAGCCTATTTCAGACGTGTAAAAATGGAGTAAAGTTCACGTGACTTATTTTTGGAAATAAATGAGCCATTTTTACACTTGTCGAGGCTGAAAGTCGGTTTTAAATTGTACAAAAATCGAAATCGGTATCACGTGACCTCCGATATCGAATCAGAACCAATTAAAAATTGCTGTGTGTATTGTAAAACGTATTATTTACTCGCTACACAAACATAAACAACGATTAAGATAAATTGAAGTTAATTGAAAGTATCGATTGCATTCAACTAATAATTCTGTATCTAACGACAGATAAGGAAAGTGATAATGATATCATCACCTGCTGGAATATGATTTTTGTGCAATTTTACAACACAATGAGATAAGAAAATGGAATAAAAATCTGAGCTTAAAATAAACTACTTATCGTCGTTATCAAAAATAAAAATAATAACACGGTCGTGACCTTGAAAGTTAATTCTTTGATTTTTGCTGGAATTTTGCGTAGTAGTAAATGATTTTTTATCAGTGGTTCCTGGGGTCACTTTTTCAATTTTTTACTCTATCTACTACACGATTTTATCACATTTTCACCTTGAATGTATTTATTTTTTATTCATTCTGTCTCTAAGTGAATCGATGAATAATTCCAGGTGCCAACTGCGATTTCCAAGTACAAACATCCGACTATCGTTTCAATCTTTGGTGGACGAGAACAGTGAGCCCCCTCCTAGGGTCCGAGAGGTGTCCCCCGTGCGTATGCGAGACCGAGGCGGCGGCTCTGGAATGGCCCCCTTGCGCATAAACATCCCAGATTCGACCGACGTCTACGTTAGCCCCTTTCCCTCGCCCACAGGGACGATCAGTGCTGCCAACAGCTGTCCGGCGAGCCCCCGAGGTACCCCTTTTTAATCTTAGAGAAAACAAATATGTGAAAAATGTGTTTTCAGGGGGGCACGGGAGGAGGAACGTCTCGGCCGATTTGCAAATGGTGGCGGCGTACGCCGCCAAGGTGGCAAGGAGGGACGAGGGGGCGAGCAGTCACCACGTCCAGAGCCACAGTCCCGACCATTATAGACATCCAACGAATGGAAATTCGGTATGGGTGAGGGCGAGGGGGCGCAATGGGGGCTCATTGTTGGGTTTTAGATACCACCAGTGGTGATAAATGACGGGTATGGGGCCAGTGGAAGTAAAGACGATTCTAAGCCCCCTTATTCGTACGCCCAGTTGATAGTGCAAGCTATTGCCAGTGCCCCCGATAAACAATTGACGCTCTCGGGGATTTACAGCTACATCACCAAACATTATCCGTACTATAGGACGGCGGATAAAGGATGGCAGAATTCAATCAGGCATAATCTCAGTCTAAATAGATACTTTATTAAGGTGAGTTGGGGGAAGTCCAAAGGAAGCCCAAATTTTTGTCTGGAATTAATGTTTTTTATATAAACTTATCCGAGGAATCCAGATCTGCAAGAATTATTGAGCTACGACTAATAGTTTCAAAAAATATTGTCAAAAATTTAATTGTTGAGTGATATAACTCGGAAACTCGACGTTTTGTAATTTTGTGCAAATAAATCGAAATTAACATTTTCCTACGTAAATTTATTCGAGGGATCAGATTTTGTAAAACGTTTCAGGTCGTGGTTAACAGTTTCAGAGATATCGCCAAAAATTCAATTTCAGAATGGAAAAACTTGAAAATTCGTCTGTTTTTTTTTTGAAAACTTCAATTTTCAATTCAATCAATTTTCAATTTAATTTTTGAGTGATATAACTCGGAAACTTGACCTTTTGTAATTTTGTGCAAATGAATCAAAATCAGCATTTTCTTGCGTAAAATTAGGAATCAGATTTTGTAAAAATTTTCAGGTGACGGTTAACAAAAACTTCGTCTTTATTTTGAAAACTTCACATCTTCAGTTGAATCAGTTTTTTTCATTTTCGTACTCAAAATGTCTGAAAAAATCTAAATCTGCAAGAATTATTTTGATACTTTTAATATTTCCAAAAATATCGTCAAAATTTTCGTTTACAGTAACGGAAATACAAAAACAGGAGATTTTGTAATTTTATGACAAATCTAATGGACAGAATATGTTAAAAAAAGTTTCTTTTTGTGTTAAATAATCCGAATGATGTAAATCTCCAAGTACTGTGTCGCTACGACTATTGTTTAAAAAAAAATTGTCAAAATTCTTATTTTTGTGAGACATAACTCAAAAACACATTGCAAAATAAATAAATACCCAATAGAACACAAATTGGTTATTCTTATGTAAAATGATCCGAGGAATCTAAATCTGCAAGAATTATTGAGTTGCGACTAATAGTTTTCAAGATATCGTAAAAATTTTGATTTTTGGGTAATCTAACTCGGAACTTTTACGTTTTCTAATTTCATGCAAAATGGACACTTTGAAATGAATCGAATTTTAACATTTTCTTACGTAAAATTATTCGAAAAATCAGATTTTGTAAAACGTTTCAGGTCGTGGTTAACAGTTTCAGAGATATCACCAAAAGTTCGATTTCAGAACGAAAAAAATTGAAAATTTACCTTTATGTCTTTTTTAAAAAATTTCAAATCTTTATTGAATCAGTTTTTTCATTTTCTTACTCAAAATGTCTCAAACGACTCTAGTTTCCAAGAGTTATTTTAATTCTTTTAATATTTCCAAAAGTATCGGCAAAATTTTAGTTTCAGAGGAACGCAAAAATACTAGATTTTGTAATTTTATGCCAAATCTAATGGATACATTATGTTAAAAAAGTTTTCCTTTGTGTTAAATAATCCGAATGATGTAAATCTTCAAAGATCTTGTCGCTACGATTATTGGTTTAAAAAATATCGTCAAAATTTATGAGACAAAGCTCACATTGCAAAAAAAATAAATCTCCAGTAGAATACAAATTTGGTTATTCTTACGTAAAATGTTCCGAAGAAACCAAATCTGCAAGAAATATTGAGTTACGACTACTAGTTTCAAAAATATCGTCAAAACTTTACTTTTTAAGTAGTTTAACTCGGGAACTTGACGTTTTGTAATTTTGCATAAAATGGAGACTTCCAAATGAATCGAAATTAACATTTTCTTACGTAAATTTATTCGAGGAATCATATTTTGTAAAACGTTTCAGCTCGTGGTTAACAGTTTCAGAGATATCGCCAAAATTCAATTTCAGAATGCAAGAACCTGAAAATTCGTCTTTATGTTTTTTTGAAAACTTCACATCTTCAGTTGAATCAATTTTTTTCGTTTTCTACCTAAAATGTTTGAAAAAATCTATCTGCAATCTGCAAGAATTATTTTGATACTTCTAATATTTTCAAAAACATCGGCAAAATTTCAGTTTATGATAGCAGAAATGCAAAAACGAGAGATTTTTGTAATTTTATGACAAATCTAATAGAGAGATTAGTTATGGACAGATTGGTTATTCTTACGTAAAATGATCCGGGGAATCCAAATCTGTAAGAGTTATTCACCTACGACTAGTAGTTTCAAAAATATCGTCAAAACATTACTTTTTTTACTGGTTCAACTCGGGAACTTGACGTTTCGTAGTTTTGTGCAAAATGAAGACTTCCAAATGAATTGAAATTTACATTTTCTTGCGTAAAATCGTCCAAGAAATAAGATTCTGTATTTTTTTTATTTTGTGGTTAACATTTTCAAAGATATCGCTGAAAATTCAATTTCAAACCGATAAAATTTGTAAATACGTCTTGGGGTCTTTTTTGGAAACCCCAAATGTTCAGTTTAATCAAATTTTTGATTTTCTTAGTCAAAATGACTCAAAGAAACTAAATCTGCAAGAATTATTTTAATATCTCTAATATTTTGGAAAATATCGGCAAAATTCCAATTTTTTAAGAGAAAATTCAAAATATAGAAATAATGCTACATTGTGACTAAAATAAAGGTCCGTTATAACACAAATTTGAATATTCTCATGTAAAATAATCCGGGAAATCTGAATGGAAAAGAAGTTTTTACTTGTGATTTTAGTTTCTGAAATATCTTCAAAAAATGAATTTTTGAGTCACAAAATTGAAAAATTTGCCATTTTGTGAAACACAGAAACGGTTCGTTAGTTAAAATATGACACATTTTATGTAAAATGAGCTAAATAATTAGAATTTGTCAAAAAGGGACTACTTTTTTATGTTAAGATTTAAAAAAAAAACAAAATTTGACCCCAAATTTGAAAATTTTTAATTTTTTACAACGTGGATACGTGGATTAAAATGACTTTTCTAACGTAAAATGAACCAAGAATTAGAAAAATGCCCCCAGTTTTTTTCGACACCTCATAGTTTCAGAGATATTGTCAATTTTTTTTGTCAAAAATTTTCAGGTGCCCCGTAGCCAAGAGGAGCCGGGCAAAGGCAGTTTCTGGCGCATCGACCCCCAATCCGAATCGAAACTGATCGAGCAGGCGTTTCGTCGTCGTCGACAGCGCGGTGTGCCATGTTTCAGGGCCCCCTTCGGCCTTAGTTCACGAAGCGCCCCTGCCTCCCCCAGCCACATTAGCATGTCGGGGCTTATGACTCCGGAATGTCTGTCTCGGGAAGGCTCACCGACACCGGAACACATGTTGGAAGTGAGTCAATCGGCTCCGGGAAGTCCGGGCAATCAAACAGTGGCGTACGCCGGCTCCGGGAGTATGATTGGACATCAACAGATGTCGGCGTTGGTGGGGGCCACCAAGGCGAGACTGCTGCTCCCACATAGGGGCGAGGGGGGCGAAGTGAATAATGCCAACGGACAAGAGCATAGAGAAGGTAATTTAGTTAAGAAAAATACTAAAAATTTTGTCTTTTTCTGAAACCGAAAGTTTCGGCATTTTATGAGACGTCTCAAAGGTTAATTTGATCACGATTCGAGTTTTCTTACGTAAAATGAGCTCAGGATTCTAAATCTGCAAGAATTATTTTGCTATGACAAATAGTTTTGAAGTTATCGTCAAAAATTTACTTATTTTATGATGAAACTCAAAATCACTCAATTTTGTCACGTTGAGAAATAGATAAAAGCTTAGTTTACTTACAAATCACGGTTTCTTATGTGAAATAATCTGAAGAATTTGAATCTGCAAGAATTTTTCAGTTGCTAAGTACAGTTTAGAAAATATCGTCAAAAATCCAATTTTCGGATGACAAAACTCGAAATTTTGCTATTTTGTTGCATTTTGAAGAATATAAATCTTTTTTTAAGTCTAGATACGGTTTTTCTTACGTAAAATTAACCATGGAATCTAAACCTAAAAAAAATATTTTTGTACGACTGATATTTTCAAAGATATCGTCAAATTTTTGCTATTTGAATGACCAGTTTTGAAAATATTGCTTTTTTCATTTGGTGGATCATGTGATCAGTCAATTGGATCGGGATTCAAGTTTTCTTACGTAAAATGATTTTAAACCTGTAAGAATTATTTCGCTGTGACTAATAGTTTTAAAGTTATCCTCAAAAATTTACTTATTTTGTGATGAAACTCAAAATCAGTGTATTTTGTCACTTTGAGAAAAACCTAAAATATTATTTTGGTCAACATTAACATTTTCTTACGTAAAATGATTAGAGGAAAATAAATCTGCAAAAAATATTTTTGTACAAGTAATAAATAGTTTCAGAGATATCGTCAAATGTCTGATATTCGAATGACGAATTTTGAAAATACGACATTTTGTCGTTTTTTGAGTTAGATGATGAATTAATTGCATTGTAATTCGGGTTTTCTAATGTAAAATAAGCTCAGAATTCTAGATTTGCCAGAATTATTTTGCTATGATCAAGGGTTCCGAAGTTATCATCAAAAATTTACTTATTTTGAGTTTCAAACCAAATTTTGTCAACATAAAATTTTAGTTTGATCACAATACACTTTTTCTCACATAAAATGAGGTAAAGAATTTAAATCTGCAAAAATTTTTCAGTTACAAAGTGCAGTTTAGCAAATGTAAAAAATCCAATTTCCAGACGACAAAACTCGAAATTTTGCTTTTTTGTAAGGCAAAATTTTGGTTTTCTTATGTCAAATGAGCTCAGAATTCTATATCTATAAGAATTATTTTACTATGACTAAGGGTTCCGAAGTTATCGTCAAAAATTTAATTATTTTGTGATGAAACTCAAAATCACCTAATTTTGTCACTTTGAGAAAAACATAAAATTTTAGTTTGATCACAATTCACTTTTTCTTACATAAAATGGGATGAAGAGTTTAAATCCGCAAACATTTTTCAGTTACAAAGTGCAGTTTAGCAAATATCGTAAAAAAAATCCAATTTTTAGACGATAAAACTCGAAATTTTGCTTTTTTGTAAGTGAAAATTTTGGTTTTCTTATGTAAAATGAGCTCAGGATTCTAGATCTATAAGAATTATTTTACTGTGACTAAGAATTCCAAAGTTATCGTAAAAAATTTCATTTTGTGATGAAACTCAAAATCACCTAATTTTGTCAGTTTGAGAAAAACATAAAATATTAGTTTGATTACAATTCACTTTTTCTTACATAAAATGAGCTGAAGAATTTAAATCTGCAAAATTTTTTCAGTTACAAAGTGCAGTTTAGCAAATATCGTAAAAAAATTCAATTTTCACACGATAAAACTCGAAATTTTGCTTTTTTGTAAGTGAAAATTTTCGTTTTCTTATGTAAAATGAGCTCAGGATTCTAGATCTAAAAGAATTATTTTACTATGACTAAGAGTTACAAAGTTATCGTAAAAAATTTAATTTTGTGATGAAACTCAAAATCACCTAATTTTGTCACTTTGAGAAAAACATAAAATGTTACTTTTATCACAATTCATTTTTCTTACATAAAATGAGCTGAAGAATTTAAATCTGCAAAAATTTTTCAATTACAAAGTGCAGTTTAGCAAATATCGTAAAAAATTCAATTTTTAGACAACAAAACTCGAAATTTTGCTTTTTTGTCGCTTTTTGAAAACTGTCTACGTTTTTGTAAGTCAAAATTTGGGTTTTCTTATGTAAAATGAGCTCAGGATTCTAAATCTATCAGAATTATTTTGTTATGACTAAGGGTTCCGAAGTTACCGTCAAAAATTTAATTATTTTGTGATGAAACTCAAAATCACCCAATTTTGTCACTTTGAGAAAAATATGAAAGCTTAGTTCAATCACAATTCACGTTTTCTGACGTAAAATGATTTGAGAAATTTGAATCTAGAATTTTTCAGTTACAAAGTATATTTTAGGAAATATTGTCAAAAATACAATTTTCGGATGACAAAACTCGAAAATTTGCTGTTTCATCGCTTTTCGAAAACCGTCTACGTTTTTGTAAGTCTAAGTTCATGTTTTCATATGTAAAATAAGCTCAGGATTCTAGATTTGCAAGAATTATTTTGCTATGAGCAAGGGTTCCGAAGTTATTCTTAAAAATTTACTTATTTTGTCATGAGGAAAAACATAAAAGCTTAGTTTGATCGCTATTTACGTTTTTTGACGTAAAATGGTCTGAGAAATTTGAATTTGCAAGAATTTTTCAATTACAAAGTATATTTTAGAAAATATCGTCAAAAATCCAATTTTCGGATGTCAAAACTCAAAATTTTGTTATTTTGTCGCTTTTTTTTCTACGTTTTTCCAAGTCATAATTTGGGTTTTCTTACGTAAAATTATTGCTTACACAATATTCATATTTCAAAAATCTCCTCTAAATAGTACAATTCCAAAAAACTCGTTTTTGTACTTTTGCAACAAAATCAAGCCCTGAAGTAAATTAAAATTAAGGTTGTCTTATGCAAAAGGAACCAAAAAATCCAAAGTTACAAAATTATTCTCCTCCTCCCGAATCTAACACATATTTTTTTTTACAATTGTGACTTTTCAGAAAAATACCACGTGGTGAGTTCAAACATCGTCGAAGAGCGTTCCCTCTCCCCCGCCACCTTCTCACCGCAGCCTGTCATCGTTCAAACCCCCAATTATTCACCTTACAGGTAAATAAAAAAAAAATCATTACCACAATTGGTTATGGAAAAAAATTCTTGCAGCGGCGGCAATAATTACACTTCGGTAGGCCTCGACCTCAAAAGACACGTCGACGAACAACCGAGCGGAAGTCCAGCGAGTCCTGGCGAAAATCAAGACAGTTTACAAGAACCGGAAGTGAAAAGATCACGTCACGAACAGTACGACACGGAATAGACAGAAAAAGTTTTTTCTAAAAGAAATAATTTTTTAAGTCACATGGAAAATTGTTAATTGTTGTAAATAAGGACACGAAATTTCAGTATTTAAAAAAATGATCATTCGGGTTGATTGTTTTGTTATTGTTGGGGAGTTTTGATGGGTTGGAGAGCCGATTTTCATTTTTTTAAACCGTGGCGTGCTTTTCCAGCATTTCATTATTTTTGTTTTCATTAGGGCTTTTATAAACAATTATAAACATAGCTGGTATATGTAGATAATTGTTTATAATTTTATATTTTTCGACTAAAACAGTCTTTACGATTTATTGTTAGTTCTACATGTATACAAAATTATATTTAGAAATATTTAATAAAGTACTATTATTGCTGTGATGACTTTTTTTAATTGTAATCCTTGTATTCGAACCGAGTTCCTATTTGTTTTTATCCTCGTTCAAAACAGAGGGAAAATTCATCACAACAATATTTCGTGTGTCACTCAAGCAATGGACGATTTTGTCATGTGTGTATATAAATCTTGAACTTTTACACTTTTCATGTCTCCACGTTGTCTGTATATAAGGAAGGAATTCAATTTATTCGCTCGAAATACTGCTGGTACAAAAATAGTAAAACACTTTTTCTCCAAACTTTTTTGACGTGTTGTTAGTTTTTCGATTTTTGTAGAAATGTATTTTTGTTTTTTTAATTTTAATAAAACTTGTTTCCCTTGTGAACTGTTTTTTCCTTAAAATGCGACGCAAAAACTACAAGATAAGTTTCGAAAACTTTGAGTAAGTGCAAATATTTGTCAATGACTAACTTTTAAACGATTCCAAATTTTAAAAAAAAATAATGCAAGATCAATATTTGCCCCCTCTGCGATTTAAAATTTTGTATAAAGAGTGAAACATTTCCAGTTTTTGTACAGTTTTGCTCTAACATGGATCCTCATCACCACCAGTCGCCCCCTCATCATAGCCACCCCCCAGGTATTTTTTTTTACTTTTAATTTTTTTTTAATTGATTTTTTAGGCCGCCATCCTTGTGGTTGTGGCCCTTCGCATCAGCCCCATTTGGCCCATTGTCAACATCACCGACCACCACCCCACCAGGAACACCACGACCATCATGAACCTCATCATCACCATGGGCACCATGAGCACCATCATGGGCATTGAACATTTCATCACAGTTGTTCTCTAAAATATGTTTCGTAGTTTATTGAAGTGTAGAAGAAGTAATAAAAATTATAAGCAATTTGTGCGTTTTTTTTTAATTCGACGTTAAAATATAAGTAAAAAATCAATTAATTCCAATTCCATGGGCCACCCCATCAAAACCAAAACTATGGATATCATGGGCATCACTGTTTTTCTTTAAACAATTTGTGCGTGTTTTTTTGGAATTCGACGTAATAAATAGTCAGAAAATATTAAATAATCTCAGATAAGATTAAACTGTTTCTGGTAATACGCATTAAGAGAAATAATTTGTGGAATAATGCTTACATTCGTTCGACGAATTTTTTTGAATGTATTTTTTTTTTAATATTGTCGAATGACTCACAGTTCAGTTCTGTTTCTGTTTTGAAACAAGTAGCTCAAAACAGGACAAAATAACGTTAATTTTGATGTAATTTTCGAGCTTATTTCGTTGGAATTTCAAAAAGAAAATAAGTTAATTTTTCAGTTAAAAAAGAACTTAATCAAACATCGAAATAATGTCAGTTTTGATTTGGAATAAATAAATTTGTCGACCAAAAACGAATCAAATTTTTAAAGCAAGCCAAAATAATACTAATTTTAAAATAAATTAGTGGTTCAAAATTTTGTGAAAGAATTAGTTAGTCAAAATGCGCAAAATCTTTTGAAACACCCTAAAATAATTGCAATGATTTTTCTTGATTTTTTGCGTATTTTGAAGAAATGAATGTACAAGCTAAAATCTCTCTAAATTTTCCATAAGTGATATTCTCAGTAAAAAAAAACAAGTGTAATTACTTGAAACAAGAAAAAAAAAAACGTCAAGTTTGATACAATTCGACGCTTTTAAGGCTTATTTAAAAGAAATAAATGACGTTTTTCTTGGTCAAAAACAAGCTAAACAGCAACAAAATAATGTCAATGTTAATTTATTGATTTTTAAGCATATTTTAACAAAATTTTGTGTAATAAGTGTTTTTTATTGATCAAAATGAGCAAAATCACTTGAAACCCTCTAAAATAATGACAGTTTTGTTATAATGTGGTGATTTTTAGGTTTATTTTGTCGAAATAATTGAATTTCTTTGCTAAATACGAACGAAATTTCTTTCTAAATTTTCCGAAACAAGCTAAAATGCTCATGCCCAAAAACGAGCCAAAACAAATTAAAATAAGTCAATTTTGGTGCAGTATGGTAATTTTTGGGCTTAATATTGCGACGAAATAAATGAGTTTTTCGCATAAAAATGAGATAAAGTTTGTGACCAAATTTTTTGAAATAAGTTATTTATTCGGTCAAAAAAACTAGCTAAATTGTTGATTTGGTATTTTTTGGGTTATTTTGACGAAATCAAAAACGGAAACACAGTTGTAATTTTTTTTGTAAATTATGTCTAATTTCTTCATTCATCTCATGGTAGGGTTTCGTGTTTACTAAAGATAAAAAATTACAGTGCAAATACAAAAAAACATTGGTATTTTAAAAATTTTTATTCATTTTAATTACACAGAGAGATAAGGATAAAAATAATTCCCAAAACAACTATGAATCATTTTTGAAGAGCCTGTTCTCGTTACCCCCCTCTAAAATCAATACAAGTGTTACCTAACTTTAGCACTTTCTATAAATACTAGAATCGTTTCAATTTTCGCTCATAAAAAGTTTGTTTCTACCATGGATCATCATCACCACCACCATCATGGGCCTCCACCCCATCATCCCCCAGGTACATTTTAATTTTTCTATTTTTACAATTTTATTGCAATTTTTTAGGTCACCACCCATGTGGATGTGGTCTTTTGCACCTCCCACATATGCCACATTGCCAACACTTTCGCCCACCCCACCATGACCATCATCACCACCACGAACCCCCACACCATGGCCACCACCATGAACCCCCACACCATGGACACCACCATGAGCACCATCACGAGCACCACCATGGCCACCATTGACACGTTTTGTTACTTTAATTTGTTAAAAATAAAAATTAAGAAATAAATAAATTGCGGTAAAAATTACTCAAATCTTTTCCCTACCTTTCCCTAAAATAAAAATAATATTTATGGTAAATTTGAATGAAATAAAACAAATATAGACAAAAGCAGTATTTATTTGTCCCAAAAAATACAAATAAAAGTCATGCGAGTATTCTTCGACAATTAGCAAAATCCATGGTGGCCGTGTCCATGGTGGCCATGTCCATGATGTCCTCCGTGGTGCCCATGATGGCCATGTCCATGACGTCCTCCGTGGTGCCCATGATGTCCATGTCCTCCATGGTGTCCCCCAGGAAATCCTCCATGATGTTCCCCATGAAACCCAGGACATGCCCCATGTCCATGGGGACCTCCGTGGTGTCCTCCACCAACATTCGGACAATTCTGGTGAGCCCCACCTACTGGAACAACAACCCCTAAATTAAAATAAGTTATTCGGATAATAATATACAAAAAAATCAACTTACCCGCTGCTTGTGGACTATGTGACCTACGATGGCCATGCCCATGATGCCCATCGTGTTGACTTCCATGGGACCCACGACGTTCACAATCACAATTTCTCATCTTGATGTTTAATTCAACACAAAACACTGCGTAATAATGCAAGAGAATTGTCACAAACGCTATTTAAATGGCTTTGTGAGAATTTTCCGTGACGTCAGTGGACAATCAAAGTGTATTTTTGTTCAAGGTCGATTGCACAACGTTGGACAATGTTGCGCAATGCATTGTTCTAAAACTCCACAGATAACGGAAATTTGTTTTTCTTGAAAAGTGGCATACGATAATCACGTGATTTGTTTATAAATTAAAAACATAAGTATTAAATTTCCACCACAATTATGCGTTTTATATTACGAATACATTTTATTTTTAAATATTTGCAATAATTATGTTGTGTTGTAATAGCCGATAAGGTGTTATCTTATCGAAATTGAACACTATTTCGAAACATAGTCCAATGGTTGGCCTTGAACAACAAACAATAGCACTTTATACCCCCCTCTCTCCAAAATTTGGCAATAAAGTTATCCAATGGACAATATGAACAAACAAAAATCTTCATTTGAAAAAATCTAAAACGAAGATAAGAGAACGCATGGCAATCATGTTCGTTGCCATGGTAAACATCTTGGACAACATGGACGTCATTGTCATGACGAACACAATGGACAATATGGACGTCGTTGTCATAACAACACAATTTTGTTGTCATGACAACCGCCACATGTGTGTTTATTAAATGATAAACGAAAATGTTTATTTTTGGGACTAAATAAAACGCATTTCGAGAGTTTTAGTGCTTTATTTATTAACAATTTGACTTTATCAAGATAACACGTATCATGAAAGACAATAATAGAGATAATGCTTGTAAACTTGCGAATTTTATTAGGATATTTATGAAATACAAAAACAATTATAAATTTTATAAAAATACAAAAAATATTTTTTTTACAAAATGGTACACCAGCAGTATTTGACCTCGTCAATCCTCGTTTGGTCGCCCATTTCGTAGACTCCTACGTCATGTGGGGGCACAAAATGTCCGTCGTAGTTGAGATCGAAGCTGGATCGATGCAAATCTTCGTAAATTGTATCATTTTTTGATGACCCAAGACTGAATTGCGAGCCGAAATGGCTGTCACTCGCTGGGTGAAAATCGTTGTGGTATCTGTTGCTCATTTCGTATCGAAATTCGTCGATAAATAATCCGAAACTCGAAATTTGTATCGGTTGTTATCATATTTTCGCACTTCAGATGTCAGTGTCTGTGTAAAATGTAAATTTGTTGCGTTAAAATGTCAAATTTTCGTCAAAATTTCGTGTTGTTTTTGGAAATCTACCTGAATATTTTGAAGATTTATCAAACGTTGTGTCTGTATTTGAAGTGGAGTTTGGAAATCAAAGAAATTCAAAAAATCTGAGGCGAGTTTTGAACTTTCGGCGCGAAATTTGAATTTAATTTCTGGGTTATAAACAATGCGTTTATTTATGAACCTCTTATCTGAGACGGAGTTAAAATGAGTAACAACAAAAAGAAAATTGAAAATACTTTGACGGCTGTTGGGATAGCTGCTTTGGTGTCAGGGGCGACCTTTGGCCTTTTTTACTACTTGAGAAGTGGTCAACAAACCCATGAAAACAATTCGAGGTGAGTTCAATTATCTATTTTTTAGCAAATCTAACCTCGAAAATGTTTCAGTGATAAGAAAAAGCCAAAGTCTAGTCAAATTTTCAAAGGCGATTTGTGCCCCATTTGTTTTGATTTTTTGACGACTAAATACACCACAATCAAGTGTCAACACACTTTTCATAAGAAATGCATCGCCCAATGGCAAGCAATCAACAATACATGTCCGATTTGCAGAAAAAAATTCGACAACGCCATCTAGTCATAGTTTAGGATTTATTCTTAGCTCTTAAGAAATTTTTGATATAGAAATAAAACTTGCGTTTTTCTCTTTTGGTGCTTTTTATTTCACCATGTTACAAACCTGCGTTCATTTCCATGGTAACCGGCTAACAACTTCAAATTTGACGTTTGATCGATATTTCAAATAAAAATGTTTGAAGATTATGAAGAATTGCCGGAAATCCCTCCTCTCCCGGAAATCGTGTCCGACGATGAAGAAAATCCGTGTCATTTCATCCGAAGAATAAAAGAAGATACGAAATATCCCCCTTTGATAGCACCCCAATCGTGGACTAAAACCGTTTCGGAGAAGTTCTCGCAACAGTATTACAAACCTAGCGAAACTATTGGTAAGTGCAACTTGATGGAAACAAAATCACTGTTGAAAATCCAGGGGCGGCTTTCACCCCTTCGGCCCAAAAATTACGAATCGCGTGTTTGCGACTCCCGAAAAAGAAGAAATTCGATCCGGGGAAAAACCCAGTGGGACAAGATGGCCGCTTGTGTTATCCCCCCGTCAAGGAGAAATACATCAGGGAAGAAGAAGAAAGGGTGCGACGGGAGGAAGACGAAAGGAAGAAAATTGTCGAAGTTCCGGGGATTGTCAATTTGGTGGATTTACTAAGTGGTAAGTATCGTCAATTGCAAAAAAATGAAGAAAGTGTGAAGAAGAAAGAAAGGGCAATGAAACGTAAATTGGAGCGACGTGAAATAGACTTCATACCGAGTGATCCCAAGTGAGTATCCCTTTTACATTATCTTCAATTAGTTTGAAGACAATTGAAGAAACTGCAAGCTGTTCTTCCGAAAGATCCCGACAAACAAAAGAGAATCCTTGTGAAGTTAGCCGAGGCTGACATGATGGTAACCCTGGCTGAGGATGATGAAGAACGCTACATTTACTATCTCACTTCTGGGATTAAACCAGAAGATTTGTCACCCTACAACCGGAAATACCTCACGGACGCCATTAAAAAAATCCCTGCAAAACTGAAACTTTTGAAGGATTACCCCAGCATGATTGCCACCCATAAAAAAGAAATCCTCCAGTTTTACTACCAGTTCATCCGAAAAAACTTACTCCACTATATTTTGAAGGATCCGAAAGAGAGGAAACGGTTGAGGATTACAAGGATTAAACGGGATTATCCCATTTTGACCATTCGAGCGCCGGTTCCCTGGCACAATTCCTACTGTCTTTCGCAACAACTAATCGAAAAACATTTCTATAACGGCAACATTGTAGTTTTAGAAATCAGGGATTTATGGGAATCCCACTATGACGACATGTTGATATTACCAACCGAGCGATTGGAGGAAATCGGGGGATTTCCCCTCGAATTGGCAACACTGGAACAACAAATCGACGATTTATGTCACGAGTCGCGTATGCGTCTTATTAAAACATGGCTGCCGTCATGCGCCGACATTTTCCTAAAGCACAAATCACACTGGCGAAAATACATTCCATTGAAATCCACCGATTCGCCCGTTTTAATCGAACGCTTTTTCGACTGTGTAAACGGGCTTTTGTCGATGCAGTTGCGGAGGTTGGTAATGAAGTCATTACGACACTTGTTAGCCCTCTTGATCCAATTCGAGTGCGGGAATGACTACGGCGAGGATTATTATGATTTAGCGTTGATTAACTTACCAATAATCAAAGTGACGCCGAAAATCGAGGAGGCGGGGACGGAAAATATTACTTTACAGCCGCCACTCGACGAAATACGAACTTTTCTCGAACGTTGCTTCGATAAAGTATTAAAAGTCGGGCGGAAAGTACCCCGAATTGAAAATATAATGTTTCCCGAGTTTGGGAAGAGAGAAACGTTTTTGTTTGCGGTGAGTCGGGAGGAAATTCCCGTTAAAGAGATTTATGAGCGAGGTTTGGCTTCGTTTGAGACGAATTTAGTTGGACCTTTGAAATATTTGCAAAATTACGAACAGTATTATTATATTTTGAACGGAAGTGCTGAACGCGAGATGCTGAATTTTTTCGAAATAATTCCGTTTCCGTTTCTTAAAGATTTCGCGAAGAAAATTCGACAATACGAAGAGTTGAAAAAAGAGATTATTTTCCTTCGCAGATCGATTCCGTTGAATTTTATTAGCTTGGAATGTGGGGAATTGAACGATATTTTGTATAAGATTGTCGACGATATCAGGAGTTACATAGTTAATTATTTCATCACCGAAAACCATAATCACAATCGAAAGTAATTTTTTTTTATTCGATTGATAGACATTTTGTGATGTGTATGTTTACAGGATTTGTGATATTTTCGACGAAATGTCACAAAAAGTGAGCGTCGGGACGGACACTGTTGCCGAATTGGTCGCTTTGTATAATTACGTAATGGAGTGTCGTGACGTCACAATGTATAATTTGAGAGAACAGATTAGGAAGACGGCTGAGAATGTCAATTTTTTGATGGATCACGCACACTTGACACGTATGATATCAAAATACGAGACACGACATTTTTTATATTGAAAAAGTTTTATTTCATGTTTATGTAAATTGGGTTTGAAAATTTCAAAACATTTTTTGTTGAAGTTTTATAATTTTTTCTAATTTTTTTTATATTTGAAATTCATAAATTAGAAAGTTTGAAAAGCAAAATTATTATTAATTTTATTAAAATCAAGATTATGAATTCAAAAATTTGAAACTACGACTCTTTTAAACAATCGACAAAATTGTTCAATTTCAGTTTTTTTCTAGTTGACTTTTTCGTGAAATTCTGAAACAACCTGTTTTATTCAAATGTTGTTTGGTGTAAAATGTTCATGAAAATAATTAGTAAAAATAATTTGTCTATGGCTCTTAGTTTAGAAAATAAAAAAAAATTGGTAAATGTATTAGGAAAAAAAAAGTTTGTCATTTGTTAGCAAAAATAATTATTATATCTTAACTGGAACCCTTTTTTTGTATCAAATCAAGTGAGAATTCTAAATTTAAAGAGAATTTTGATACGAATTGTGTTTTTAAAATTATTTAAGAATGTTTGGTGTTTAATGTAAAAAATAGAAAACCAGATTTTATCATTTTTGAGTAAACAAAACCGATTCAAAATGTGTTTTTTTTACGTAAAACCATTCGAAAAAGACAAAAATTATTTTTTATTTTCGGTATTTTAAAAGATATGATCACATTTTTCGTTCAGTAGTTGCAAAACTTCAAAAAACGCGAGTTTCTGATTAAAAAAAAACATAAATATTCTATTTGATTCTAAATTAGTTTTTATTACGTAAAATGAGCAGAGGAATCCAAATCAATAAAAATCTTGGAGCTATAACTCTTACTTTGAGAGATAACAATGTTTTCTTACTGAAAATGGCTGAAAAAATTCAAATCTAGAAAACTTATTTTGAAATTTTTGGTAGCTATTTTATAAGATATCGAAAAAAAATTGCTTCGTAAGTTTCAAATTTGTTTTTTTTTTCAAGTAAAATGACCAGAGGAATTCATATCTGTAGGAATCTTGAAGTTATGGTTCTTACTTTGATCAAAACAAAAAAAATTAAAAAATCAATTCAAGACAAAACAAAAAATCAAAAAAATTACCATTTTATGAAATACAAAAAAAAAAAAATTTGTATAAAGTGAACAAAAACACAAAAAATTGCAGTTTTTTCAGCTACAAACTTTAGTCAAATTGTTGTTGATTACTGTTGATTGAGTTTTTGTCATTTGGGAGCAAAAATAATTATTATGTCTTAACTGGAATCCTTTTTTTTTGAATCAAATCAAGCGAGAATTCCAACTTTAAAAAGAATTTTGATACGAATTGTGTTTTTTAAATTATTTAAAAATGTTTCGTGTTTAATGTAAAAAATAAAAGACCAAATTTTATCATTTTTGAAAAAACAAAACCTATTTGTTTTTTTTTTCTTACCTAAAATGATTCGAAAAATACACATCTACAAAAATTATTTTTTATTTTTAGTATTTTAAAAAATATTTTTTCGTTCATGAGTTGCAGCATTTCAAAAAACACAAGTTTCTGATTTAGAAAAAACATTGATTCAAAACCGGTTTTTATTACGTAAAATGAGTAGAGGAATCCAAATCAATAAAAATCTTGAAGCTATAACTCTTACTTTAAAAAATAACAATATTTTCTTACTAAAAATGGCTGAAAAAACTCAAATCTGAAAAACTTATTTTGATATTTTCGGACGGTAGGTATTTTAAAAGATATCGAAAAATTTTTGGTTCGTAAGCTGCAAATTTGTTTTTATTTGAAGTAAAATGACCAAAGGAATTCAAATCTGTAGGAATTTCGGAGCTATGGTTCTTACTTTGAGACATTATCAAAAAATTAATACTTAAACACAAAACAAAAAATCAAAAAAACACCAGTTTATGAAATACAAAAAAAAAACAACTTAAATAGAATATGAACTTTTTTGTATAAAGTGAACAGAGGAACAAAAACAGTTTTTTCGGCTACAAACCTTAGTCAATTTTTTTTAATCTTTATTTTTGAACTATGAAATTGGGAAAATGAGACTGTCGCTTTGAAACAAAATAAAGATTTCTTTCCATTAAAAATTTGTTTTTTACATTAAACATTAAGAAAAAAATTCCATTTCTGAGATATCATCAAAATTTTGTTGATTTTAGAAATTCACATCAAAATTTTTAATTTTTTAACAGTGATTTAATTATTAAAGTTCTAAAAAATAAAAAAAATGTTCGTGTCTCGTTCTAAAGACCAAAATATGTCCCCAGTCCTCCAAAATTCGCATTTTTAGCGGAAGACATCACCCTCAACGCGCGCGTCTTCCTCTGGCCCAAAGACATGGAAAACGTGATTGAACTCGCCCTCCAACGCCTCAACATGAAACGCGAACAAGCCGAAACCTTCCTCAAGAGCAAACGAGCAATATTCGAATCGAAATTAATACGCCATGAAAAAATGTTGGTCGCTTTCAAGAAGAAAGATCCCCCGATTCTGACAATGGAAGAAATGGAAGAATGCGTGACACAAGTCGAAGATTTAGTCCAGAAACTCCGCGAAGATAAGCAAGAAGCCGATCAGATCAACGAAGAAGAACAACTACTCGATTTCGATCCATCTGCTTTCCTCAATCTACAAAAAATGCTAACAGTGATCGAGCCCTATGACAAATTATGGCATACGGTCCTGGAGTTTCACGTGCAGTATGATGCGTGGTATTACGGGCCTTTTGCCGAGTTGGATGCCGAGGCGGTATCCGAGTCGGTGGAAAACACCTGGAAGGTTTTGTACAAGTTGGCGAAGACGTTTCATGATAATCCGGCTGCCCGGAGGATTGCTGAAATGGTCCGGGCGAAAGTTGAAAAATTCCGGCAGTTTCTTCCGGTTTTGCAAACGGTTTGTAATAAAGGACTCCAGAAACGGCATTGGGATGCCATTAGTGAATTGGTGGGGACAGAAATTGTTATCACACCGGACTTGACCTTGAATGATATGATCGAGGCCGGATTGCCGAAATTTACGGCCCAATTGGAGGATATTAGTGCCTCGGCAACCAAAGAATACGAATTGGAGAAGAATTTGAGGAAGATGAAGGAAGAATGGGCCGATATTAAGTTCGAACTGATTCCCTATCGGTACTGAAATTTAATTCAGCTCCATTTTTTTTTTGGTTTATCTTGTTTTTCAGCGAAACTGGGGTTAATATTTTAACAGCTGTTGATGAAATACAGTTGTTGATGGATGATCATTTGCTCAAAGCTCAAACGATGAGAGGATCGCCTTATGTGAAGCCGTTTGAGGTTGAAATGCAAGCCTGGGAGCAGAAATTAATTTCTATGCAAGATATTTTAGAAGCTTGGCTTATGGTAAGACAATTTTTTGCGTGATTTTGACCCAAAAAATTCCAATTTATAACAATTCCAAGATTTTTTTACTGGGGAAAATAAATAAAGGATGTGTTGCATAAAGCGGATAAAAAAATTGAAATCTATTAAATAGTTTATTCCGTGTTTTCAAA